AATCTGTGCTGGCTATTACTCACGCTATTACTCACCTTGCTTTCTTCTAGGTGCTTAGAAATTGTTTCCTAGCAGTTCTTGTTCTTTTCTACTAGGTTTCCATGGAACAAGAGTAGGTCATCTCGTCTTGTTCTTCAGATAGGCAGATGGAAGGAGCCTGAAAAAGATTTCTTTGTGTCTATTTGTGGATGCAGTAGCTGCTGGAGCACAACTGTGTTTGTGTTTTGTCCAGTAGTTCCTAGTTCTATTCTCACAGAGTGTCATACAGTGCCTACACAACCCTCTACCCTTTGCTTCTCTAATAGTTTGATCTACTTCCTTGACATCTCCTGTCTCTGAGTTTCTAAAGCTTAAAGAACGTTTTCTTCAAATTTCTTGGATGCAGACTTTTGGCTTGTAGATGTGTTTGGAGTTCTTTTCGGAGGTAGTTCTGCTAAAGTGACTAGAAGGACATTGGGATGTGCATGTAGAGAATTGGTGATAGTTTGGATAGTAAAAGGCAAGCAAGGCATTTTCCCCAAGTTTTTCTCTGTGTGTGTGTGTGCATATATATATTTATGTAAAATATACATACGTGTGTAGATATATATTAAAGTGTATCAGAGTTGCTTCTAGGCTTTTCAGCAGCTTCTAGTATAAATGAGGATTTCGGGATGCAATGTTTGAAAAGCTGGAGGTCTTATGGGATAATCTGTTGTATGTAGTATACTGATAGCATACATGTGGTAGTGATTGGTTATTACAGGCAGCAGTGATTTATATCATTGTGAGAGTAGCAGATACTCAGAGAAGGTGACTGTGCTTCCATTTTCCTGGCATCAACATTGTCTCCGTCTCTGGTATCTGAAGGTTGTTCAGAGTAAATGTGGGAAAGTACTTTACTCTGGCAGGAGAAAAAAAGCTGTGCACTCAGTGCCAAAAGAACAGCTGTTTGGAAATGTCATTGAGGCCTTGCCAGAGAAGCTACTGTAGCTCTGTGCCAAGATTTACCAAAAAAGGAAGGATGATTGTTCTCGAGTTCTCACAGACAAGTTCAATCCTAGACCCCCTGAGCTATAAGCAATTGTACAATAAAGGTAACACAATGGTGAGAAATAAAGGAAATGCAACTTCTGCTAAGCATGTTAATACGGGAAGATGACACAGTATGCTTGGATTTCTGAAAGGATTAATGCATTCAGGTTACCTCTACTGGGCAGCATAGGCATTTTTCCCCTACAGTGACAGACTGGTCATCTTAGAGTGTACTGTGAGGAGTGCAGAGAAAATAGCAGTTTGAATAAAACGTATAGGAAAAATTAAATAACAGTTATTTGCACTTTATAAATCTGTGCTTAGTATCAGAAATATTCTCAATAAATTTTTGGAGCAGAGATTTCCCTTCCCAAATTGTGTATAATTTATGAACTTGTGTTGTGATATATGGATGTACAGTAAAGTATTGCTGCCTACACCCCTGCATTTGAATAGTCCTAAAGCAGGGCAGAATATCAGTTGGAAGGTAAAATTCTGGAGTTAACTTGCTTTCCTTAGGAAGGCTTCCTGAGCTTTAAGAAAACTTAGTTTGGATATGTTTGTTTTTCACTTTATGCCTGTTTAGTTGTGAATTGTAGAGCAGTAATGAAGTGACTCCTGTTTTATTCAGCACACTGCAGTGAGCTCTTGTGTATATATGCAAGCTCATTCTTACAATAAAGGATTTTGTTATTTATAAAGTATCTTGAGTCAGTTTCTTTAAATTACTCTTATTTTTATTGTTGTACTTGCTTCTAGCTTGTAGCATTTTTTTTTAGTCTTAAGAGATTCTCCTTCTCTGCCCTCCCCCCCCCCAATTTAGTGATCTCTTTTAAATATACTTCCTGCAGCACTTGGTAAGCAATCAGTGTTTACGTGGATGCATTGAATTGTCAGATAAATAGAAGGATAAAATCCAGCAATGTTGATCCTTTTTATTTTCCCAGTAGGGTGACAAATAAATTAGTCCCTGTCGTAACAGAATCATAGAACAGTATAGGTTGGAATGGACTTAATATAGCGCATTATTTACACAAAAGTGCGTGTGTGTCTGTGTAAATGTGTGTGTCTCTTTGCTCAATATGCAGTTAAGGGCGGTAGCAGAAGAACTTGTGCAAGGAAAGTAAAACGGCTTTGGAAAGTTGAGTTTCACTGTTGACTAACCCTATCAGTGTCATGGGACTATGAGGATTGCTTGTTTTCAGAAGTACTGGAAAGGATATCAATAAAATACCGGATGAGTTGCACAGCAGTTCATTGCAGATGTTCTGACAAGAATGATGTTTACAGAAGTTGATGGCAAATTGAATTCTGATTTAAATAGGCATTGGTAGCTGGAGAGATAAAGCATCAACATAAGCATCAACGTATCATTCTGGGTATAATCAGAAAAATGGCCTATGGGTGATCATCTGGCTAAACAAAGGACATGAAAACCTTCTGCAGCAAATTTTGTTTTCATGCATCTTGATAAAAATTCAGATTTTTCTATACGTTGAATAGATATCGATAGCCTTCCAGGTTTTTTACTTTATCCAGAATATCAGATACATACTTTCAGATAGAGAAAGTGTCAGATATTTGTTTGATGATGCCATATCTAGAATATAAATACTAAAGTATGTGAAGATCTTAACAAATCACTGAGTTGTCTAATTCTAATTTGAACTATTTCCTATCAATATAGTCGATGAACAAAAGTACTACTGTAAGAAGTCACTCAAATTGTATCGATTGTAACTATTGTTTGCCAAAGTTGATGCTGAGGAGTTGGTTAAATCTGGTTATGAAATGAAAGAAGATTACAAATGCATTGAAGAAAATGACAATTAATTTTAATCCATTACTTTAAAAATAAGCAGGTATGGCATGAATCATCCAATGAATTACCCCAGAAAGCCTCCTGTTTTGACTTTGCTTCTAAAAATTAGCTCTGTAGACCTTGCTAAGCCTTGCTTTTCTGAAGGCGGTGTTATGAGAACATAAGAAGTAGAAATGAAAAATAAAATCCTGTTTTAAAAAGATTTCTCCAAGTCCCTACTCACACATGGTCAACAGAAATGCCCTGCTGTCTTGCAGGACTGATTGAAAGGCTTTTACTCTGCTAACCTTCAAATATCATACAACGCATTTTAAAAAGCTTAATGCTGCAGTGACATTCTTGCACAAGACTGTAGTGACGATACATGCTAATTTAGCAAAATGGATGGATATGTTAGAGCAGATTATTAGTGAAGGTTGGAGCAAGTGAGAAACACAAGGAAGAAGATAGCTGATTGCTTTCGGAGGTTGAGGAACACAAACTAATTGTCTTTTACAGAAATCCATTTGCTTTAAAAATATTTGCTCATTCAGAGTATGGTTTGGGCAGAGGGGAATCCCAGAGGGTCTAAAGACTGAAAACTTAATTGGATCAGCCAGTTAAAACTAAGGGACTCGAAGTAGGCAAGGGATCATCTGGGATGTGCTGAGAAAAGTCAGACCTCTAAGACTCAGTTAGTTTGACATGTGTTGTAGGAAAATAACTCTCATTTTTAAAAGTTGAGCCTCAGAGACATATTGATCCTTTCACATGGGACTATGTACAATGTAATGCAGAAAACCTATCTGTTTTTTCCTGTGAAGTAGAAAAGCCCTGCAAAAGGTGTATTGATTAATTTCCTTCCTATAATACCTACACAGTCCCTCTCATTGGCGTAACTCCAATGTGCTGGAAGTATTTGTTTAATTCATGTCCAGTGGTAGTATGATACTAGATACTCTGAGGCTGAGTAGGTTTTATATATGTCTTTTACTGGCAGCTTTCCACTGGCCACTTCTTCAGTGCTATCCTGTAGCTGTGTAATTAGGCTCAAATGTTGCAGGGGGATTATGTGTGATACTTGTTTTGTTTTTTAACTGGCACATCTGTTTAGTGTTGTATTAACAGCTGTACAAATTGAATTGATAATGCAGCATCCACTTTTAATTTCAGTGAGCAGTTAGGAAAAGCCACCATTGTAGAAAGGTTGTATCTTGTAAACACCACACACATACTCTTCTCTGAGTCACGTTTTGGCATCTCAGGTGTACTGCTTGACACTCAAGCCCAGGTACCAAACAACTTTGATCTCATGCACATTGCAATGAATAAAGGTTTCTGCCATTGTCTTTCATAAACGGGCTGTGGAAGCAGGGGTCACAGGAAACAGGCTAGATTAAATTCTCATGGGTTGCAAAACTGTCTGAAATCCTGTACTGCTGTAATGCTCAATTACTTGCTGACAGTAGGGAAGGATTCATGGAAGACATCTCATTTGGCTCAATGGTGGAACAAAGTAAGTTTGCTACATTTTCTGGTACTGTTATAATGGCATGTTGGAGGACTGGGTTGTCATTAGCAACATCCTTAACAACCTGGACTTCAGTAAGACCGAAAGGAATCAAGTCCTTTAGCACAAGGAACAGAAAGGTCTTCAAATAGTTTTGAAAGGACAGGAATACTTTATTTCAGCTGCACATAGGAAAAGATGCAATAGGTTAATGTTGCAACAAGTTGTACAGCATAGAACAAAGCCTTTAAAGATAAAGAGTAATTAAATATGGTAATAGATAGCATTGGAGAATTGCTTTATTGTTTAATCATCATAAGTGTTTAAGAACAGATAAGGGAAATACTTGTTATGATTGATGAAAACATAGTTACATCTACCTTGCAGGCATACTAGACAACCTCTTAAAGTCTCTTTTGGGCTTACTTGCTGTTGCTGTTTGGGTTTTATTTGTTTGCACTTTTACAATGGAAAGAAGAAAAGTTCAAAAAAAACCCCCATCACACTCTTAGATTCTAAATGTTCTCAGCCCACCCAGGTAGCTCATCACTTCATTCTTTATCCATTAAATTCTTAGCAACTGAAAGACAAAAGAAATTACACCATGATAACCTACTTAATTGTTCTTCATGAAGGGAGCATAAATACTGAAAGTCAATTATGTTTTCTTTGCAGGTTGCGGGATGACAGAATAAGGATAGAAAGGATGGGAAAACTCCATTTTGAATACAGCCATGCTTTCCAGCTGGTTACTGATTTTTACACAAAAGAAGTGCCTGATGCTACAGGTATCTCATTCAAATTTTTATGCAAAAGAACTCCCTGATGTTACTGGTCTGTCATTCAGAATGTCTTTGAAGTGTGCATCCTGTTAGCTTTTACACAGATACGTAATACATGTGGGTGCATCCCATTAGGTCTTGTGGACTTGTCTGTCCAATTTGTTTAAGTGTTCCCTAACTTGATGCTCCTCTGTTAAGGAGAAATCTTCATTGCTTCAGAATTTCCCACTGGTCTGAGAGGCCTTGGGTTCCTCAAGACACATCTTAACAGTAAGACCAAGACAAAGAAGGCATTGAGTTCCTCAGCCTCTTCCATGTCATTTGTCACCTTGCAAGCTCGGACAATGTCTCTGTATTCTTCCTGGGTCACCTGTCCCTGCTTCTACCTCTCGTACTCCTCCTTTTCAATGTTTGAGTTAATCAGTAGCATATTGTTCATCCATGCAGGCCTTCCGCCACCTTTGCTTAATTTTCTGCACATTGGGATCTTTTTTGAGCTTGGAGGAGGTGAACCTTGAAAATCAACGTTATTTAAATAGAAATGAATACAGGGCTAGCATCTCTCTTTTTTTCATAGTTTGAAGATGTGTATTTAGACAGATTTAAATTCACTCATAGATAGCAACTGAGGGAAATTATTCAACATCTGAAATGTTTCTTCAAGTTCTTGTGTGTATTAACAGTCTAAGAACAGAATAAAGGCTTTAAAAATATCTCTGAAAAAACTTAACTGAAGGTTTTTTGTTAATACCTCAATTTTATGTTGAGGTATCATGGAGTGAATTTTCCTATTGTTTCAACTGGAACAGGGACTGGTGTAGAGCAGTGTTTAGAAACACTGTCAAATACGAATAGCTGTCTCACAAAGATGGAGCCATATTCTGCAGACTGGCTGAGGCAGATAAATCAACAGCACATATGTCAAGGCCGATTCATTCCTTTTAACTTGCACAAATATTACCTACAGTAATGGAGAGTTCAGAATTTAATTCTTAGTTTGTACATTTAGAAATTTCTTATGCCAACATTCATTTTTTTATGAAGAAAAACTTGTGGATTCAAATGTTTTATGTTTCATAACATGTTTACATTATTGTAATGTTCTACATTCTTTGGAACCATAAATGTTGTTTTGGAACCTCACTTTATGTTAATTTATAGCTATCATAGAGCACTCTATATATATTAGAGATTTCTATTTGATTAAGTTGGAAAATAGATTGTTTTTTCTAAAACATGTAAGTAATAAACTGTGAGTTAATAAGAAAACCACTTTTTGTTTTTTTATTAGGTCCTCAAAAATTATCTGTAATACTAAGCTTGGATAAGCCTGTTGTTTGCTCTCTGGCAGCAGTAATTGCATACCTCAAAGAATTTAATTTGGAAAGGATGCTTTACAATCCAAGGTAAGTCGCCTGATATAAACTCCCAATTCAAGCACCAATAGATGTACCATTGTTATCTTGACAGTTTTAGCAGACAACTTCCCTTCAGTGTAATGAACCCATCTGCTAGAGTGATAAACATAGTCTTTGTAAAAATTATACCTTACATCTAAGCTCCTAATCAGAACTGAAAGAATCAAGTGATTTTTTTTTTTAAAGTGGTGTTTCATGAATATCTTAATGAAATATGTTTCTCTAGACATTGCTATCAGTAATGTAAATAAACATGTACTGCTGCCAGGTGTTACTGAAAACAAACAAGATGCAAAAACTGGTGGATACTAGGAGGGAAATTTTAAAGTTTGTTAATCAGTATCAGCCATCATTTCTCAACCCTAGTTTTACTCTGTGAATAAGATTTCCTGCTTTTTGGCAGCTTTTTTTAAAAAATAATATGCTGTAATTTAGCTTTGCAGATGTTTTATTTTGCCAGAGGTGTGTAAATAATTTTCTCTTTTTATAGCTCTGGAAGCAGGTATAAATGCTAATGTGTTGTAATGTTTAGACAGTACTCAGCAGGTCTTTTTGAGCTGGTGAATCTAGTTATCAGTTATGAAGAAAACAGACGTTCAACACATCCTGGCTTTCTGAAAAATCTCCTGAGTTGGCTCAGTGGCAACTAGGAGTGGGGGAACAATCACGCAAAAAGTTGTTGATAGACTGTCACCATTTATGCAAAGTTACTACAAAAACACACAGACATGGAAATAATCTTGTCTTCCCTTATGTAGTCACAACACTTAGATTTATTAGATATGCTCAGATGAGTACTCCAAATTTGTAACAGGATTATGCAGGTGGAATCAAATGAAAATTGAAAGATACTGCCACTCAAGCATCTTTTTATCCTGTCTTGCACAAGTATAAAAGATTGCTATCCTACCTGGCTTAGGTTTGAAAATGTCATTGAGGCTTATTAAATGCTTTAATAAACCAGCTTTATCTGTCATAGATCCTGTGCAAAGTATTCTCTTGGTTGTCTCAGTATTCTTCTGTCCTGTAAGTAGGCAGTATTTAACAAAGTAAGTCTGGCTGCAAACTGGAAACTTAGAAATATGTCATGTCAGTTGTAGATCATTCACATGTTGTATGAGATTCTTGAAGTTTCAAACCTTATTATGAAGGGCTCCCTACATTACCAGTTTTTTAAAAATGCAGCTGCATTTAAAAAATTGACTGCTTTAACATACCAGCTTTAAACTTTTCTCAGGTATCTACTAAAATATTTGGAAATTATATATACCTGGGTTTTCTGGATTTTGGAATGGATTTTATGCCTTAAGTTGCCCTTTCCGTCTCCCAAGTTCTATTAAAATGTTAACAAAAAGAATTGCTGTGGCATCTTCTAAGCTGTCTCCCCTGCCTCATCCATCAAGGAGCACTCTGATCTGTGGTGTTCCTGCTCATCCTCTTTGATTGGCTTCTTTTTTTTTTTTTTTTTTTTTTTATGCTTGAGTGGTGAGGAGGGAGCTGGAGAAATCTTGTTGTGGGCGTTTCTGAAGAAAGTGAACTCCAAGGAAATGCCATTCCACTTGTAGATCACTAATGTCACAGTGCCTTATGTGCAATGGCACATAAGGTGAATGTTCTTTCAGATGGGGAAATAAAAAATCCAGCTTCTGTGCAGAATTCAGAAGCAAAGGACAAACATTGTTATGTGAAGGCTTATCTAGCAGCAGTCAGTCACATTTGTAGCAGCTGCATCTTAAAATCAAGTATAATTATGGACTAGGAAGGAAAAGCACTACATCTTAGAGTTCACATTTGCCTCCTGAAGGTTGCAAGGTTGCTCTAATGGACTTTATGTGAATGTATGAGCATCTGAGTGGAAAGGTGATGAACTATTTAATATCTTGGTCATATGTTCTGAAGAAATAAAATACATTCTTTGAGATAACTTTGTGCTCAGGATTCTACTGTATTTATTTCTAAAGCCTTTACTGCTTTGACTACCCAATACTGAATTCTGCCACCTGGTTTTAGTGTTATTGAAATAGCAAGCCAAACTCAACTTCAGTATTTTCCCTAATGCCAACAAAATACTGTCTAAATACTGAAAAGGGAGAGCCTATTAAGCAAAGGGTATCAGGCTTACGGATCTTCTGTGATTCTGCAGGAAATATAAATACTTCCATTGCACTGTCAAGCAACTTAAAATTCCTAGGAGAATTCAGGTCAGTGAGCATGTACTGATGACTCAGTGAGCATGAAGTTGAAGTTGTGAGATAGTTTTCAGTTTATTAATGTAAGTGACACAGATCTAGATGAAAAAGACCTATTTGATAGGAAGAATGACAAAAAAATTCCTTACACCTCTCTGCCTTCTTCAGATAAACTCTCTTCTCTCAGCTGAACAAAGTTCCAGCTCAATTTAATAGTAAGAGTCATGAAACATCACGTAAGTGATGAGGGATCCTCATTATTGGGGGGTGGGAGAAAGAAGTTATGTTTTAATATTCAGATGAAGCTTTTAAATCCACTTTTAAGATCCTAAATAAAGCAAAATATTAAAAAGGAAAAAATATTTCTGCCACAGCAGTACCCTGGGATATGGCTAGACTGCATTAGAGCTCTACCAGCAAGTGAAAATAGATTTAACAATGAATGATACAAACTTTTTTAAATCAACATGTTTTAATACCTTTGCATACTGACACACCTTTATCAGCTTTTGACAAGAAGCCGGTACTCATCTAGGAGAGGTTTTCAAATACAGTTGAGTACCCAGTTTTGTTTGAAAAATCATCATTTGCATAGCAGTTGCTGGGAAATGTGTCTCAGTGTATTTTAATTTTACCTATATGTTTTCCAGCATACTGGACACAGAAGAAAGACACTGTAGTTCTTAGATTTTGAACAGTGATAGATGAACTTCAAGAAATGCAGGGAATGAAAGAGACAGATATCCTTCTGAAGGAGGGGAGTAGCGTTGGAATTGGAGAACTACGAGCAGAAAAGGTAGAAGACAGTGGCAGAAGTGAAAGAGGAGAGGGAAGGGTTAAAATGGCTTTTGAGAGAGGAGAGCGAGAAAGAATTCAAGAAGAGGAGAAATATTTGATTGTACTTTATAGTAGGGGTGGAAGGGAGTTCGCAAGATCAAATTGAGAGTCAAAATGTAAGTTCTTTGACTTAAAATGGTGGACATCCTTGAATTTTCAGGGGAAATGTCATCGAACTTGAAGGAATGGCATTCATAAGGCTTTTGTATTTCTTGAGTGCTGATGATGCCAGAAACCTCAGGTATACAAGACAATGCATGGGTTTATTTACCCACTCTCAGTTTGAGAAAGGGAGTATGGAAATGATTTTAGGAGGTTTTGAATTCAGCTCAGGAGCATGAGGGACTGATAAAGGAAAGGTACGGTTTTCAGACACTAATAAGAGGTGCTTAGCACAGGATTTGCTGTCTCTTTTGAGACAACAGAAGAAGAGCAGCAGGTGGGATGTCTTGCACTCTGGACATCTGAAGTTCATAGGAGTGCTGAGGCTGTGTACAAGGAAAGGAGGCTGAGAGAATGCAGATAGCTGGGTGGAACAAGATTGCAGGCCCACTCCTGCAATCAGTGGAGAAAAGAGTTCAGTGGAGAAAAAGAAGACTAATTCAGGATAAAATTGATGGAGGTTGTTTTTGTTTCTCTTAATCCTTCCCAAATCCTCTATTTCTGTTCTTGTTCTTTGTTTTGTATTTCTCAGGGGGTTTTTGTTGTTGTTGTTGTTGTGGTGGTTTTTTTGTGTGTGTGTGTTTTGTTACTGGTTTAGCTGGTAGTTTCTGGACTGCTATCACATCAGGAATCCAGATCAGAAGTTCTAGCCCTGTGGCAATATTCACTAATGAATTTAAAACTGGTTAATTAAATACAAAACATAGTCTGAGCTTGATGTCATTTGCTACTTAGACTGTGGTAAATGTCTTCATATCTAAAGAAAGCTAATGCTTCTGAGAAATGGAGAGGCTATTTTTTACTTCTTAAGGCTGAATGGGGATCCCTGTCTAAATATATAGCTTTGTTCAGTGGTTTATTCACCCTTAGAAATCTCAAAGACATGGACTCTAGATGTCTGTAAAAGGTAATTGAGCACAGAAAATCTGCTGTTTAGTAGGCTTTCAATACAGTGCCTTTGCTGTATTTTCAGCAGATTTGCTGAAAAGTTTGTACAGATTTGCAGTATTAAAGTAGTTGAGAACTACTGATCTGAATAACATGCATTCACTTAGGCTGGGTTACTGAGTATGAAATTATATATAATATCTCCTGTGAAGAGAATAATGAATAAAGCATAAAAAGTACCCTTCACTGCAAGCTTCTCGGGAGGCAGAATGACCAGGAAGAACCAAATTCACAGATAAGATAAAAGAATCGAAGTCTGAGGATGTAGTTTACTGTCCTAAAGCAATCATAGTTACCCTTTAATACTCATTGAGTGTGGTTCTACTCTGAAAAGTCATTTTATGAGTAAGAACCTCTTTCTCATGAGTATTCCTCAGAAGTGTCCTAAATCTTACTACAGGCTTGTGTTTCTTTTTGTTTCCTCTTTTCATTTTTCTTGGCTCAGATGGCATGATCCTACCTTGCCTTGCTTCCATCACTTGTGTTTTGTGCTGTTTAAGTACTTGAGACAGTTGCAAGTCTGTTCTTTGAAACCCAGGTCACACTGTCACCTACAGAAGGAATTATTGTATTGTGTTCCAGCTGAAGTGATTTTGAAGGGTCATTTTTACTGATGCAGGAGATGGCCGATAGCAGCACATTAGAATTTCTCACAAGGATGTTGACGTCCTTGCTGCAAAACCAGTGCTGACTTAATATTGTTTACAGCTTTCTTCTTATGCCATTTTGTCCCTACATTTCCGACAAAGAGTCTGTCTTTGTTCAACTTTTTATCAAGTTCTGATCCCAAGCTGAAGGAAGATGAGTGGGTGGAAGCAAAACATGTTCTGTGCTGTGACATCTGGAATTGTTGGTTGGGCATATACTGCAGTTGATCTTGGCTGTTATTCATATGCTCTAAGCTCTCAGTCATTAGTGTTAATAGCAGGGTTGAGGAACTCAGATAAAGCAAACACCTGGATAATATAAACCACACATAATTTATGCTATGAGAGCAACTTTAGCATATCTGATTCTGAAAGGATAGTAAATATACTCTGCAGTGGAGTAGAGTTAGTTTTCTTTAAATATGACCGGAGATTAAGCTTGCTGTGAAAAAAATATGCTCTATGTTAAGTGCTCTGAAGACAAGTGAAGTAGGGAAACACTAGAACCAGTAAATAGACAATCTTGAAACTCACGTGTGGGTGATTGAAGGTTGATGGAAACAGCCAAAAGCATCCTTTTCGCTTTCAAGAAGAGATAGAAAGGCATGGTTCTTACCCAGCTGGGATTAAGAGACAACAGGCTTGAGTGGCAAATCAAAATGCAGCAAATGTGGAAACTGCAGTTTAGGTAAGTCCTAGATGGCGAAGAGGTGCTTTTGAAAGAGTGGGTAGGATTTGTTGTTGATCATAAGGATTGGGAGCCAAGCAGAAATCATTCCGATTTGATTTTTGCGAGCATCAGCAGATGTGACTGAAGATAATAAAAGGAAGTATGGTTTTGTTACTTACAATATTGTGTACTTTGGAAAGCGCTACTGTGTTTGTCTCCAAGGTTTTGTTTTGCTGGTCAACTTTGTTGGTTGCTGGGATAGCACAGTAGAACAGAAAAATTATGACTATGGGTGCAGTTCTGAGTCAGCTATATTTCCAAACTATCATTAAAATTCTTGAGGGCATCAGTTAAATCTACTTTTTTTTTTTTTTTTTTAAATTCTGTGGAAAATACTTCTCATTTGACCCATTGTTTAGGAAAAAATCTGCTAGCAGGCCCAAACACCTGCATACAACATAAATATATAACATTAGTCTCTGAATATTTCACGTTCCTGAAAATTTTAGTGCTGTTTTTGTTTTTAATATAGCAATAATGCAGCTGTGTGTCCCTAACAAAAAACTTTGAGCATTTTAGTGCTCCCCTAGAGAGTTTAGAATTGAATGCACTGAAAAAAACTTTGTGAAAAGTCAAGAAAGCAGTTTTAAATCCTACCCAGCAAGTCATCCTGTTTAGTCTGAGACCATAAAGAGTGTCCTAGATTTTGTGCAAAGGGCAGTCAGCGATATGATTAACCTAGACAGTCATGACTTGATTTGTCAGAAGCATTTAGTGAGGATCTTGCACTTCACTTCACGGTCCCAGCTACCACATATGTATGTCTGATTCTGAAATAATTTTCATATCTAATATGATAATACATCTAATACAATTGTTATTAACGGTGGTTCTAAACCAACACAACCTTTGGGTTGGTCTCATCCTGTGCTGTTAGGGAGTGTCAAAAAGTCAAGTAATTTTGGTTATTTCATATTAAAAATAAAATAAAATAGTTTAAATATACTCTGTTTTTATTTTCCTAAGTAATTGCATTAACAGTCTGTTTAAATTTATAGTAGTAGTACTAGTAAAAAATAAGAATATGTATTTTGATATGCTGTTTTGATGATGTATTAAAAGTCTGTTCCACTCCTGAAGTATTAATTCTTAGTCCTATCCCTGTCCCTAATCCTACACAGAACACTAACAAAAGCACATACTTTTTCAATTTCATCATAGACTGAAGAAGGGGCACTTCCTTAACCAGTTAGTGGATCAGGATTAAATAATGTGAGAGCTGGATTTTATTCTGAGCTGTGTCAGAGTCATTGTAGGAAACTGGGAATTGAGTCACAAATCTTGTTTTCCTAAGCAGTAAATTAAAAGACGTTGTTAGTGTTCAGTTCTTGTATTTATTTGAATAGATTCTAATATCTTACTTGATTATTTTTTATTTTGCATACCTAATGAATTCTCTAATGTGAGAAACTAGACAGTGTTTCACCATTATGTCTGTGCCCAAATTTAAAATATAACATGTGAAATTCCTTTCCCCAGCGATTTCAAACGGTTGTCAAGTGAAACTGAATACATGACAATTAATGGAACAACAATGAAAAATCTTGAAATTTTACAGAATCAGGTAAGTACAAATGTAATATTTTTGTAAGAAATGCTGAGATTTTTACAGCTGCTTGACATACTGTTGCCAATAAAGTTAGTTTGCAAATGTCACCCAGAAGGTTTAAATTATTTTAAATGGGATCAAATTGAAGGACAAGTACATTTTCAGAGGCATAAATGAAAGTTAATCTATGCTGTATTTTAGTATAAGTTAGGAACCTTACTGCGCTTTGACTAGCAAAGAACTTTCCTAAAGTTTGAGTTGTTGAGCAGCTGCAGTCAAGTGATAGGACTGAAGTAGGGTTTGTTTTTAATTTTGCGCCACTGCACAGACCTTTATGCACAGACTTAATTTAACTTGTTTAATTTATTCCAGTCATTCTCTAAAAGGATTTTCTGGCTAAAGGAAAAATATACTTAAGTATCTTACAACTGTTGGAGGTACTTTATGTAAGGCGTTGTTGATGAACAAGATCAGTAAACAAACATTCAGTTGCCATATCTTAAAGCCTAAGCAGAATGTTTAAATAGTGTGGTGAAGATCCTTTAACTACATAACTGATTGTTCAGTTAAAAATAATTATGCTATTTTTATTATTTTAGACTGATATGAAAACAAAAGGAAGCCTACTCTGGGTCTTGGATCATACTAAAACTTCCTTTGGACGTCGGAGATTGAAGAAATGGGTAACCCAGCCCCTCATGAAATCCAGGTGAGATAGTTCTTCATTGTGGGCTAAATTTGCATTTGTGTTTATTTTTCCTGAAGACCTAAGATCCATAGTAGAGTTTACATAGGAAATGAGATGATAGGTGATGTGGACATTATATATAGGTTCGAAAGAGTTAAACTACTGTTTGGGCACAGAACATCTAAGTACTTCAAAGTAGGAAGTTTAGAGCAAGTTAGAAATTCCTATGCAGAAATCAGATTGTGTAACATTTTAATTCAGTATACTTTCTCAGACAATGGAGGATTACCTGCTATTGGAAGATGTTTTATTCCTAAACTTGCAGTTAATGTTTCATGTCTTGCTTTGCAAGTATTTGCGTCCTTAATGTGTTTAATTTGTTCTAAAGTAGCTGTGGATGTTTCTGTTATCCTTGTATACAATATATTGCATAGTATTTAGTATTATTAGTTTTTATTTTTATTAGTTCTGAAATGTGATGATTGGTCACTCTTGTATTTTGAGCTATGCTTTATTAATTAATGCTTTAGAAATGCTTTATTTTGTGATACTATCATCTTGGGTTTAGTTGTCTCTGTCTTGAAATGGACTCCATCTTTTTTTATTTCTCTTTGCAGGCTTTATTGGAGTCTTTTACTTGAATACATAGTAAATAAGAATATTGAGTCCATGCAATGTTTGTTGACTACATTTTAAGTTTTTGGATCTATTCCTTTAAATGTGCATTCCCTGATCATCATCAATGTAGAGTTTACTTGATTGTTACTTTGTTCACTTCAGCTATAGCATACAGAAAATCCTTTTGTTATGGTTATATGAAATATTTTTTCCCTCTGTTTTACTTTTGTAAATAAATTAAACAGCTTTAATTTTTATTAATTTCTAACAGTTTTAAATAGTGAGGTATACCAATGTTTTAGCATCTTCTTGTTGTTGGTAATATACAGATGTTTCTGCAGAACCATTTTTTTTTCCTTGATCAATTTTTAATATGTTAAAGCACTATATTCTGAAGCATCACTGCTTAATTTTCTTATTAGCCTTTTTGTAAGGATTATTTCTCAGTAATTTAAGAAAAGCACATAACTATTTTTTCCCTCCTATTTTATTAATTTAGAATGTTAGAGACCTTTTTCATTTGTAGGAGCCATAGTGGTTAGACTGTTTCACACTGTAGTTTCTGGCAGGGATTTAATAAGTTGATTTCAGTATGCGCTTTTTTTTTTTTTTTTTTAATTCTTCTGATAATAGCTTTTATATATCTTACCTACTTCAGAAAGGCTTTTGATGTAACCATCCTAAATATTATTAGACATTATGGAAGTTGATTACGTGCCTGATGTTCACCTTAAAAGCATATAGATAGAATTTCTGGGCAATTTTACAGGAATAAATTGAAGTAAATTAGTTTATGTCTTTTCCTCCCTTGGAGGCACCTTACGACCTTTTGGGAATTGTTTGTAAAGTTGTCGGTGGGGGGAGCCAGAGCACAGGCTCTGGTCTGGTGTGGTGACAGCACTGAGGATGGGGACCTGAAGAGGAATGCTTCTCACCATTTTGCTCCCGAATGATCACATATGTGATGCGTCAGGTGAAACACCATTCAACAGTAAAATAGAGTTTTTATCCAGACACAGAGGATAGAAAACTGCTTGCCTGGGGACTTAAGGCCTTCTTTCTTAACTAGTAAACTTAGTTTAAATTCTCCCTTGTTTCAGTGCAGAACCTGCTTTACAAGTTTGCAGTTTTGGTTTCTTCTCTTTCTCTTCAGCTCTTTGCTACTTCTCGAGGTTGATACTTCCCTTTCTCAGCCTTCTTTCTCAGTATGAAAGGAAGTTTTGTGGTTGGAGGTCACAGTACTCCTCAGTTGAAGCAAAAAAAGCTATTTTGTTTCTGTGTATTTCTCCCTTTCTGACTTTAAGTTGTAATTTCATGTACTTAGTGCCTCAGACATTCGGCAATATTGTTTCCAGTAATGCACACAAATGCACTTAGAGAACATTCTGTAATTGTAATTCACCTGTGCCTCCTGGAGTGACATTTTGAAAGGAAGTAAGATTTCTGTACTGCATCATTTCCAGTCAGTGGGTAGGTGCATTTCCCTTGGTGTATCAAAAAGTGAGAGGGTGTAATTACTGCTTTATGCCTTACAGATGAAAATCACTTGGAATGATGACTAAATTTCCAGGGGAGAAACCATACACTAGGCTGAATAAAAGTACAATGTATACAGACAGCTCATTTGGGCAAACTTGAAGATATTCATTAGATCATCGGTGATGTAATACATTGAGAGACTTAAAAGAAAAGGTTTTGTGTGATTTTGGGAAAAAGAAAAAGAGAAAAAAAAGAAAAAAGAAAAAAGAAATCTTAACCAAGGGAGGTGTAATGTCCTCACTTTTTCACCTAGGTATACAAAGATGATGAGGTAAGAATATGAGAGTCATTGAGGACTGAACTTTTTAGGAGGAATCAGGAAAATCACTGTTTTTTGAAGGTGTTACATCTTTGTGGATTACAGAAGCATTATCTTACCTTGCCTATCTTGCCTTTGAAATGTTAAGTTACATCGAGTGCCTTTCTTGCCTAACTTCTGTAAGGGGAGCAAAAAGAAAAGGAAATAGAAAGCTGAGTTGATTGGAATGTTTTTGACTGAATGAAACATGCTGTTTCCCTCTTGGGCAATGGAGTTTCAGCAGAAGAAGGAGTAGAGTTGTGTATTATCATACTCAACAGCAAACGGGCTAAGGACTGGTCTTAGGATACAGTGTTGTAACTCAGTGTGATCTTAGTGTCTTTGTATGTGTGCAACACCTAAAAATAATTCCTTTCCTAATGCAAAATTAATCTCAGAACCTCTGAAGTTGATGTGAAACAGTCATTGCTTTTTTAATAGCTACAGGAAGAAGAGAAAGATAAGCTTAACATAGGCCTAGTTAAGCAAACCTGGATCCGGTTTGCATTTTTCCTGTTTTGTTGTTTTATGTTATGGATATATTGTCCTGTGGCAATGGTATAAAAGAAGGCACAAGGAAGTTGTTGCCCAGTCTGGAGTCCAAAGAGAATAGACAACTGTGGAACAAGTATTGCATCCTTTTCCTCATTTGAGTATTAATCTGTGTCTGTGCCTTGCTCAGCTGTTGATTCTTGCACAATTTGTAGGAAATTTGTTTCCTTGAGAGCAAGCAAACACCTTCCTTGACATTGTCAAGGTTGGCTGGAATTGAACAAAGCATTCAAAATTGTAAAAGGCATATGAGTAGCACGATTATATGGAGGTTTATTATTTCCATATTAGATCAAGCTGCAAAGCTAATAAAGCTGTGACTAGGTACTTAAAGTAGAACTTGAGATAAGTGATGGATATATCATACCAAGCAACTTATAGCCACTGTAGGGGAATATGTGTAGAATTCCATTCCTGTGTAGAGAACTTTGACCTGTGTGTATAGAAAGCATTGCATAAGAGAGATTCCCCCCACCCCCCAGTCTGTTCCTGGAGAGGTAGAATATCTTTTAAATATCAGTGGGTAGACATCGTGAAGTGTCTTTCTAGTACTGTAGCCAGGGAGAAGGTAGAGACTTTGCTATCTAATTGGAAGATAACCTGGAAAATACTGGTGTTTGCCTTTATTGCAAAAGTACTTAGTTTATGAGTTAGAAAAGTATGTAGTGCAAAATTTTAAAAGCTTGGGTGCGTGGCGGGGGTGGAAAACTGGAAGTGATAAATGTTTCTTGTGTGTGTGTGATGTGAACATATTAGTTTGCACAATGCGCTCTCTCTCTTTGGGGTGATAGCTACTGTTTTTTGAAGGTGTTCGTGGTTTGAAGTAGCTTAAACATATTGGGTGATCCACAAGTAAATGTGTACTTCTTTAATATTCTGTTAATTCTCTTAGGTTTTTTAATATGTTATCTATGATATGCAGAACCTAACCTTATAAGATTATGAAGAGCAGAATGCCCTCAACATAGAGTTCAGAAGTCATGCAACTTCCAGCATGGAAAGCTTGCTCAGGGCTTTGGGGAGAATAGGCTTTGTCCTTGTCAGCCTGTGTTGAAATAGGAAAAAAAATAGCCCCCTCGCCCATGCATACAACTTCACATCTATGTTTTGGAGATACATGTGTCAGTTGTGGTGTAGGTCAAGCCACGGAGTATGCTTAGTGTACTGGAGTAAATGTAGAGCAAAAAATTAAAAGCCTGTAACATAACACAGTATGCCATGGGAAAAGAGTGGTGGTCAAAGGTTTCATCAATGTCTTGGGCCTCTACTGTAACAGAGCACTTGTTGGATAAAGTGGCAATGCCCACCACACCTGGAGGCCCAAGGTCCCTCTCCCTACTTTCTGTGCGGACCTTGAGCTGGTGGCAAGGTGTAGCCAGCACAAGGCTCAGTGTTTTCTCAGCGCTCCCAGTGCACTTCTGTGCCCAGCACCCTGCTGGTACCTCTGGTGCCAAGGTTGTGGAAAAAGGCTGAGGGTAGAGAAGTCTGTCTTAATTCTTCCAGACCATTAGTAGAACTCCAGGAGCATGGAATTAATTAGTTAAAAAGTATTCCAGACCACATCAAATACATGGTGATGAAGCCTCTTTTTAGGTGCTGCAAGGGACATCACTTAAAACCTTGTTAGGATGAGCTCACCTTTTTGGCCCCGAAGTCACCCTAACCTGTTGATGTATTTCAGCTTTTACTGTAGTGTAGTTCATGTTCTTGGCTCCAAGACACACTGTTTGCCAGAAGCAAATATGGGACTTCAATGGTTGGAACTCTCTGTGTAGTTACTTGCCTGCATTTACTTGCAGTCATTTGATCTTTTTCTAGTTAAAACTGATGTTTAAGTCTCAAGGAAGGGGAAACTTTATATGTATTTAGAGAGTTGCCAAAAGCATTTTAACCTTTACTTTGCAGGCTACAGAAACTAAATTTTTAAGTACTCGTCAAAAATAGGATTTCCTTTTTTTTCCCCCTGTGATTCTAGTAGCCTTTGTTCTGCCCCAGTTCTTCCAGTTCTGGATGA